ACATCAAATGAAATAGAAGACAGGCAAATTGGAGGGCAGAAGGCCAAAACCTGTGGGGCATCTAATTGGTTTAAGGGCATTTAGCATGTAAATTAAGTTATTTTGGCAAAATGAGTCCTGGTGTGGGATATGCAATTGATCAGTAGGGGCTGCTGAGGAGCAAGTACTTGAAAGCACTTTGACAGGGAAGGGATCTCACCCCTGTACTCAGCACCAGTGAGGCTGCACCTCGATGACTGTGTTCAGTTTTGGGTCCCTCACTACAAAAAGGACATTGAATGACTCAAACATGTCCAGAGAAGGGCTACAAAACTGGTCAAGGGTCTGGAACACATGTCCTATGAGGAACAGCTGAGGGAACTGGGTTTGTTTAGTCTGGAGAAGAGGAGGCTGAGGGGAGATCTCATCACCCTCTACAGCTCCCTGAAAGGAGGGTGCAGAGACCTGGGGATGAGCCTCTTTAGCCTAGTAGAAAGCGACAGGACAAGAGGTAATGGCCTCAAGTTGTGCCAGGGAAGGTTTAGACTAGATATTAGGAAGCATTTCTTTCCAGAAGGGGTTGTTGGGCGTTGGAATGGGCTGCCCAGGGAGGTGGTGGAGTCCCCATCCCTGGAGGTGTTTAAGAGTAGGGTCGACTTAGCGCTGAGGGATCTGGTGTAGTTTGGGAACTGTCAGTGTGAGGTTAATGGTTGGACTGGATGATCTTCAAGGTCTTTTCCAACCTAGACGATTTTGTGAAAACATGGGCTCCTCCTGGGTGAAAAGATTGTCCCACCTTCATGGCTGATGGTGGCAGTATCCTTCCAACAGCCCTTGAGGGGGCATAAACCGTGGCTCTATGCTGTGTTTTACAGGCAGAGACCAAAACAGATTTCATGGGAAAACTTACAGACAGGAAGAATAATGGATGTAGCTCGGTGATGACCATGGTGATGACCACTGCTGTCAGCTGGTTTCAGGAGGGTGTTCTGTGGCATTCTGATGTCCGTTCTGCCGCACAAACCCCACAGCTCTCTTCCTCTGTCCTGCAGCACCAGCAGAGCTGCAGTGGGCATTCGCAGCTGCGCTCAGCCAGCCTGGCTGCATGCTGTCTGCTGTCCCCTCCATCCCTGCCGCACTCCACCTGCATCCCTGCTTCAGACATACCCCCGGCCAGTCCATCAAATGATCGCTTCACCCAATCTACCTCTTGTGTCAGTAAAGAGAGCTGGGAGTTTCAGATAGGGGTTCCCCAGCCAGGATTTTTTGCATGGAAACAGGTTAATGGACATGCCCTTGTGCTCATGCCCCACGGCTGCTGCGCTTTGCTGGTTTTCATGTGTCTGCAGACCCTCTCTGCAGCACAGGCATGCCAGGACTGATGCTTTGTAGAACACTGGAGCTGGTCTGTGCACAGATTTAGGATGTTCAAGTGCCCAGAAATCCTGGGCAAATGTACAAGTTCCTTTAGTCTGCCAGAACAACATTTCCAGGTGGGAAAGGACATCTCTGAGAAATTAAAATATGCAGTGGGCCTTTCCAAATGGGTTTCACAGCATACAACTAATAATTCAGTGGTTTTCACAGAAAAGGGCAGACAAGGCATACACTCGGACACTTCCAAGCTTTTTTACCCCTTGTCTCATCTTTCTTCAGGGATTACAAGAGATAGAGGCTTGGATTGATTTGTTTTTCTCTTCTGGAGCAAGGGCTTGGGGATTTCACTTTTACAAGGAACTTCCACCATGTGGAGAAAGGTCAGAATACTTTTTGCTTTGGGTTTTTGTTTTGGGTTTTTTCTGTGTGTGTGTGTGTTATTTTTTCCAGTTCCCAGGGTCGCTGGAGACTGGCCTACCCCACACTGTGGTGGTTCCAGGTAGATGCTGTGTAAAGCAGAGCTACAACAGAAGAGGGCTCCCAGGAAAGAGTCTCCATCTCTCGCTATTTGGCTGATCTGATCCAACTCTAACAGCTGAAAGAGGCTGCAGCATTCTTAGTGTTCATTGCAGCAGCTGTCTCAGATTTTCAGCCTACAATTACAAACCATGTCATTATCCTACAGCACTGCCTGGGATTATGTATGCTTAAAACTATTAAACAGCAGCGGTTTGTCTGGCAAGATCAGCGTCGATGGCCTCTGTCACTGGAAGTGTCAGGGCCAAAGGTGGAGCAGGTTTGCAGACAGCTCATCTGCCATCTGGCCACCTGGGAACCACTTGCTGGACTTTGCTCTTGGCTCTTATTTTCTTTAATCAACTTTGTCAACCCTCTTTCCTCACCATAATGGAAGAACTGAACCAAACCAGGAAGCGGAGTTGAAGGAGACCTTGCAGACCTGAGCTCTGTCCCATACAGGGGGTTGCTTGCTTTGGTGGCAGAGGTGTTGAGTTTTTCGGAGAAGAGCCCTCTGGGCTGGCAGCCTGCAAGTAGGGCTCTGGATCAACTCTTAAACAATGATAATAGCAAACATTCAGCAAAAACTACAAGATTAGCACCACTGATAACCATGGTCTTAGTGCTCCCACCAACTGCTTAACTTCATCCTCCACTGCTGCGTTATAAAAAAACCCAAGTTCTCAGGCACAGATTGACCCAGGATAGAAAATTCAACACAGCCAGATACGTGCTGCTTCAAGTCCAGTCCTGCTCCCACCACAGTGGCTTGGTCCTGCTGTAAGATGGAAGTGGGAGGGCTGAGTGACTGAGCAGCTGTTAGCAGCAAGCGAAGGGCTCCTGGCTGCTGAGCATCCTCGCTACTGCAGTGCAGAGATGCGGCTTCTCTTAAGGTGTTTTTGCTGAATGAAAGATTTGCATCAACCTTGGCTGGCCTCTCCTTTTCTTTAAATGATGCAAAAAATTATGAAGTGATAAGGGGCCGAAGGGAACATTTGAAATTCCAGTGGCATTTCTAGGAACTGGCCGGCACACGTCAAGTTCCTCACAGCAACCTGCTGGTTGGCCTGCAGGAGGGAGGCAGCTGGCTACAGCGAGGCATGTATGTGGGATGGCTGTTCATCCTGGGAAACAAACCAAAAAAGCCCTCAGTGCATCTCAGATTACACTGTCAGCTCCCCAAGCCTGAAGGTAGACAGTCCCATGGTTATGGATTTCTGCTGAGGATTCAGCACACCTTCTAGCTGACAATGGAAGCAGTAGCAAGGAAGTACCCTTCTAAGTTTTGGTATGTCCCCTGTTGGGGCCTGAAGTACTGAACTGAGATTTCCATAGATCCTGCTTGGTGCAGCTCTCTGTAAGCAGCACACAACTGGGGTGAGCCCGTTCCCTGCAGGGAAGTGGGAGCATCACCTAATGTTCGCCCGTGGCAGCGCTGTCTGAAGGGCAGCCGTTTCTGCAGAAACGGCTTCTCCCTTAGCATTGAGTGGGTACACTGGCATCTCTCCACATAACGGGGCACTGAGGAACCAGCCCCATGCCTGCAGCATACAGGTCTGGTGGAGGTGTTTCCTGCAGATGTTCTGGGAGGGAAAGCAATTCACAGTATTGAATGTGATGCTGGAGACTGCATTCATGGTAAGAAGTAGTATGATGCAAACTCGTCTGAAATCACTTATTGAATTTTACTGAGTGTGCAGGGACATGGCTCTCCTGGGGTCTAGAAAATTTGGGGCAAAACATAGGTGAAGCACGTGGCATCCCCAGCTCACCGCTGATCCGCTCCCTCCCTGGTCTGCAAGGTGACATTGCTCCCCTCTACTGCAGCCGCTCCTCTGCTGACTCCATTTGCCATCAGTTCGGCCCCACTGAAGCGTGTCTGGTTGGGTTCCCAGGCTGGAGGGACTCCACCAGATACCGCCCGATGTGGAGCTTGTCTCTGGCTCAGTTTAGGATGGGCACAGACAGCACAAGTAACCTTTCCTGGCTGGACTCGTTCTCCTGAAGGACTCTTGATCAGTGTATAACTCCAACCCCAGTTATCGGCAGTGCTGCCCTCGAGGGGAAGTGTGGGTGTCGTGTGGGCTGGTTTGTGCTCGCTGTACAATGGGCTTTCTATTTTCACTTCAGTGACCTTACACCAATTTGGAGTCTTCTCTTACCATTACTTTCTCTCTGTTCTGGAATTTGCTTTTCTCCTGGGCAACTGCCATTTTTCTGCTGGAGAAGGGAACTAGAGTGGTAGAAAGAGCATGATTCATATTTGGGAATTCAGGGGGGGGAAATTAGCAGTCACTAATGAGTGAGTGCAGCATGGGAGTGTGCCATGAATTAACAGCCAGGGAAACAACCTAAAGGCACTGGCTGTACTCAATGACAGGAAATAAAATAATTAGTGAAGAGCATGTTAATTGTTAGCTAATCCTGTAATCCATGTTGCAGTCAGCTGGGTTTTGCCTCTCTGGTACACCCAGTTTGCAGGTGCTGAGCAATGGCCCCAGCTTCCAAGCACGTTACTTCATGGGGTCAGTAGTACAAAGCTCCAGGATCTGCAGCCTTCTTCCAGCTGTCTTTCACACAGATTCACTAGTCTGTGGATTCACTGAATTTCAACTCATGTCAATTTAAACGTCTGTGCCAGGAACCTTCCAAAGCCCAGAATTTACCAGCTGAGAAAAGATTTTGACACCATAAAAGCATGCTGCAACAAGAAGCTACACTATCACCTATTTCTTTAAGACTGTGTGCTTACACAACACATTTAAAATGCCTACAGGTGATCTAAAACATTACCAGTTACCCCTCAGAAGGCATGGGTTTAAAGACATTCCCTCCAGACCTTCCAGGACTACAAGTGAGCATGGGGTAATACCATGCACATAGGCATTTCCCTTTGCTATTGCTTCTAGAAGCAGCCTAGAGATGTAGCAGAATTTTCTTCATTTGAAGAAAGGTAAAAATTTCACATTGGGAAAAAATGTTTCAGAATGAGGTTGATCTTGGGTTTTTTAAGGGTAGCTTTTTTTAAAAGGGCTATTTGGCAGGTTTCTGGGAAGTTACAGCTAGTCTTTGGAGGACAAGGAGATATTTGCAGAATACAATGTGTTGTAAAGTGTTAACACATTTATTTTATATATATATATATATATATATATATGGGCAGACAACTTCACATGCCCTACCAGAATTTACTATACCGATGTCATTTCCATATTGTATTTCTTTAAGTGTTATGAATCAGACGATATGTGACATTAATTATTTGCATTTATCATTGTGCAAACTGACATAATGATCAGTTATGGGGTAACACATCAGTAATTGTTTACTGAAGTACAGAAGTAATCCTCCAGTTTTCTGAAATATTCTGGAATTACCCTGTGCATGCTGTATCTTCCCAAATCCTATTTGGGTCCAAAAGTAACATTGTTCCATGGCCAAGAGGTGCAGCATGCGTTGCTCAACACTTGCTTCAGCAGCAATGCCATGTGTGGTTTCCATGGCAGTGGCTCTCCTCCCACCACCACGTATGGTTCACAGCTTCTTCGCCAGTTCACCCCTTTTTTGGAAAGGTTTCTCTGTGAGGTTCCAGGAAATTGCTTTACGGCTGTCTCACCTCCTTTGTTCACCCATAACTGGAAACATACGGTATTTGTCTTGCAGTTCAGTGACATATGACCACTTTCAGGAAATGTTTGAAAGAATGTTGAAAGAATGCAGGATGTTTGGAAAAAAAAAAAAAAAAAAAGAGAAGGGAGAACAGACAGAAAAAAAACCTTCCAGAATGAAGATTTCTCTGGAGACAGTGGAAATCGAGCATTCTCCATGCCAACTGAGAACAGGGCAAGAAAAAAACATGTTCATTTTCTGAAAAAATCATTTAGGATAAATATTAGAAAAAAAACCCCTTCCTAATTACACAGAGATGAATCTTGGAACAACACAGTTTCTAAAGTTCAGAAGAAGAGCTTAGGCAAACCTTGAGCAGGAAAGGTCGAGGGTGACATCCTCAGTGGATACTCTTAAACTAGATGATCTGTGATTTTAGGGTTCAGGCCTAGAGGACTGTCCTAGCAGACTGACAGTTACACAGCTGGAAGCAGCCCTGGTGCGAGCTGGCCATCCCATCCCTCGGAGACTCCTTAGGCAGAAATGGATTTGTTATGCTCAAAGAGGCAGTGCAAAGCAAAGGAGTCCTATAGCAGCTTTGGAGGAGAGCTCCCAAGGTATGAATTTTCTTCCATTTTCAGCCTCTGTAGTTTCAGAACTGGGGTTTCCCTCTGTCTTTATGAAGAATTCAGCACAAACAAGCCTTTGAACACCACTGAAATGGAAATATCAAAAACTGTGATCCTTTCCCACCTTGAGAAATAAGCATGTCCCAAACACTTTTATCACAAAAACAGAAGAGACAGGCTGTGGAAACATTGTCTGGAAATTAATCTTTTAAATAGAAGTCTGAATATATAAATATCTGTGTTTATTTGCTTTGAGTTACTGATGTTGTTTTCATCTTTGGCTAAATAAAATTTTTTAACAATTTTTTTCAAGTCCAGACTGGATTTTAAAGGAAGCATACAAAGCACATTTGTCAAATTTACTACTGGAATAAGTGGCACCAACACTGATTTTAGTGAGTGTAGTTTCTTACTGTAGTAGCTGTCTTGGCCTAATTTAACTGGAAGCTGGGCAAATACCTCCTTTGGCCTAAATCCACCTTAATCAAAGCTCATATAAATCTCCTAATATCAATAATCCTATGTCTGCTAAACCCAGTAGTTATTTTGGTTGTACCTGGCAAGATAAAAATCATCTGTACCCAAAACCAGTGATCTGGGTTTTTTTTGCCACATCATTGTATATTAATACAATCTATCTTACAGTGGTATTTATGTATGTAAATACACCTGCATATATCCGCACATGTTCTGCATACACGCCATACCACACCATGTTTCTGTAAGCAACAGAGGTCACTGTAGTACAGGACAAAGCTCCCTTTCAGCATCCAGTAAAGGCTCCTCTGCAGGCAGATCCACACCAAGCACCAACACCTTCTGGTGTGATATTAGCTGAAAATCAGTCATGTTTCTATGATAGCAATGGGAGCATGACATATTCACAAATAAATATTTAGAGGAAATGTCACTGTTTGGGAAACAACTGAGCAATTGCTCTGGAAATGCTGCGGTACCAGTGCCATCCCTATGGTAGTACTTGGCAGCATCAAAACTCCTTCAGTAGAACTCTGTGCGCTGGGCAGAGTGCATGCACCATCCTATGCACCACTTCTCTCTCTGGTTTTCTCAGATGTCTTTACCAGTAACACCTTCACAGAGCAGGTCAGCCCTCCTCTCTTCCAAATCCACTCATTCATTCTTCACTTAGGGCTTATTTTGGCTGCCAGTGAACCCCAAAGTGCTCCAGACACATTCCTTTTCTCCAGCCAGCTCTTTTTCCTGTTATTTTTTGAATGTATTTTTGTAACACGCGGGGCATAACACAAAAGGAGATCCCACTGAAATACGATGTAACACTTTATTTACCAGCCTTCCTTCCAACACTACAGCTCTCAGCCTGCCTTTGCCTGTCTGTAGCTAAGAGGAAACAAGGGGAAAACATGGCTTTGTTCCAAATGTAGGTAGTTTCCACACTCCTAACTGATTAGGAGTTCAGTATAAATCAATGTAACTCAGGGTTAAAAGGCAAGCAGAAGTGTGAACTGGTACTTTCTACTAAAGCACAAAGTATACACAGAGCAGAGGTTTCATAAAGTATTTAACTGTCATTTTTTTTCATGTAACTGAAATACATGCCAACATGAAATACAAGCCAAACACATGTCTCTCATGTCAACAAAACAAGTTATTAAGACATAAAATGAAAATGAAATCCATGTTCTCTATTTTTTGTACTTCAGTCACAAAAGATGTCTGGCAGCTCTAGAAAATAAAGATTACCTCCATACACTATATGTCATATTATTCTCCCTGATCTTTTCCCTTGAACTTTGGCACTTACTTAATCATTGAGGTCTTTTTTCAGGAACATGAGCAGCCTTTAACATGGAAGATATCTGAATGTGGAATCCTACAAACAGTAAGTTTCACCTTAAAAATTAAAAAAAAAGAATTTTTATAGCGTGTTATATCTGATCAACATTTGTGCTATCAGACTTTTGTATTTTAACTAGCTAAATAAAAATGATCTGTTAAGAGATGAGTATTTTTTTCCTTGCTGAGACTGTCTTTCTTTTATTTAGATGGCAACAGCATCTGATGACCTCAACTTTCTCAGCAAAATTCAAATATGAATGTGTTTCAAGTATGGGTCAGAGAACCTGGATACTGAAATGTGAGTCCATCTGAGAGAAACACAGGTATCAACATGTAGTAGATCACAGTGGTGTTAAGGCACCACTTAGAAATGTCCTACATTCTTTAAAAAAAGTGGTATCACACAAGGAGATGCATAGTGCTTGATAACCAACATGAGGTAGGAGTCTAGGGCTCTGCCCCCAGTACCCAAAGCCACTATAAGCAAGTACACATCCATTGGAAGCTATCATTTATTTCCCAAAGTCTGCAATTCACAGAACTTAGCCAAAAAATACCAGGTAACTCTAATTTACAGTAGCCCAGTAGTATCTCTCAGTGTTGCTCAGACTCTCTGAGTTCAAGTCCTCAAACACAGCAGTGCTGACCTTGCATTCCCCAAGTAGCCCAGGAATAAAAGATACTACATCACAATGATGCTGAGGAGCTATTTGGTATTGAAGTTATTCATGCCAAACTTAAATCAGAGTAAATTGGTTTGAATGGAGCCACTTGAAAGGCAGAAATCAGGCTGCTTCTCACTTGACTTGATTCATTTGACTATCACCTTCAGGTTAGTCAAGCCTACCTCCTTTCTTGTGGACCTGCTGATGAAGAAGTAAGCCTCCTCCACGTCCTGGGGTTGCAGATCATTCACAGCCACTATACGGTCTCCATGATTAAAGAAACATCCCAGATGGCAAGGACCAGTCCACTGTGAGACACTGGGGTATTTGGAGGACAGACAATAAAGGAAACACATGGGATATCCAGTTACTGCTAACGGAATGGTAACAGCTGAACCAGACTGCATTTATGGTACTGCCCTCTGGAAATAACACACAGGTTGAATGGCTCTGCAACTTTTTGATCTGGTTCTAGCTGAAATTAAGCTGCTTCATCCATCCCAACAGGTCCTCCTTAAGGTGACCATGATGCTGACATTGTAGCATGTTAACAGGTGAAACTGGTGCTAGCAAGGTCACCAGTGAAAGTTGGGAATTCCCGTGCAAAAGCAGGGGGTCACACTCACTGTAGATGCTTTAGCTCAATTGACCAAGACGATTTCTGAAGTCATCCCAAAAGAATGAAATTAAAACTTACTATCATGTGTTTTACCTATGATATAACTGCAGGGATCAGAGATCCATAGCTGTCCTGATGGGACCCTTATGGAAATTCTAGTATCTCTTTCCTGATGGTGTCTGATAGACTCTCCTTGATGACAAGCTATTTAGGATTAGCTGACCTTACAGACCCAGTGATCTGTTCCCTTCCAGAACAAGCCCCAAATTCTTTCAGTATGAATTTCTACTGAGAAAACTCTGTAAATTTAGATGTAGATCAAATTATTGAGGTGGGATTCCATTTCTAGTCCCTTTTGCAATGGTATTTTTGCTTCCTGCTGACAATGGCTGAAACAAAGTGACTTGCTGTGCAAACAGTGCACCTGATTGGTGTGAATATGAGAGCAGCAGCAAAACAAAGTCTCGGTGTTGTGTGGCAGTGAAAGATCAACAGGAAGCAAAGGAGTATGCATTGAGCATTTTTTCTGTTCCATCCTCTTTATCCTAGTCATTGATATTGAATGTCTAGGAGAGCACTAATTCATAACGGGACTACTAAAAGGATGTATGTGCTCTAGCCCATAACACCTACTTGTGAAAATCTCTGCCTAGCACTCATTCCTAGCACTGAACAACTGCTGGGATTAATTTAGACATAATTTTGTGCTCACATCCAACTCAAGTCAGCTCGAAGCCATGTTTCTCTATTCCCTCACTATATATATATGAGACATCACCATTGTGGTTCACCAAATCCAAGGTAAAACTGACTAGCAGTAATTAGGTGATTTCATATCAACATTAGAAGAATAGCTGTTGGGGTGGAACTTCATTACTAATTATTACACCTCATGCTGAGGGATCTCAATTCTATATAGCCCTTTTCAACAGCAGTTGAAATAGAAACTCATGTGCATAGTCAGAAAGAGCAGAAAGGAATCATGGAAGTACCAGCACACACTGACCCTGCCCTGTTCTGCACTGCCCAAACTGTACATGGATGTGTATGGTTGGACACATCTGTACCTCACTGTCACTCATTCACATCTGACAAACACCAACCAACACAAGATATCCAGAACTTACCATATTTGTCCTGCTGCTTCAGTAAGTTTTAGGTAACTTACTACTGCCAGGGGGATGAAAATGTCCAATTCCTGCAGTTGGGTCTCATCTGTAACTCGACTGTGAAAGAAAACATCAGAGATCGTAGCATCATAAATCACACAAAATGTCACGTTGGGAGGGATCCATAAGGATCATTGAGTCCAACTCCCTGCTCCTCACAGGACTACCTAAAACTAAATCATATGACTAAGAGTGTTGTCCAGACGCTCCTTGAACTCTGACAGGCTTAGCATGCTCCACCACCTCAGCTGAAACCCATGAACACATCTGTCTGCAATGAAAATGGAGAAGACACTCACCTGAGCAGTATAGACAACTGAACCACTGAAAGTGGTAATGAATTTTGCCTTCTCTGGAGGGCTGGCTGCTGGCTGGTGCTGCTTTCTGGGAATTTCAGGCCTCTATTTGCTTCCAAGTCTCTTGGACATGCACTGTTGTCCTGGCATTTGGGAGGAGACGGGAGCCCATCACATCTATGCATGAGCTGGCAGCTCTCATCTAGCAACTTACTGAAGAGGAATGATGAGAAATAATGAATTGGTTTGACCATTCCATACACTCTTGATGTGTTTGAAGCTGGATCAAATAGCCATCAGTGAAACAAAGGATAACAAGTTCTTGTAGAATATCCAGTGGACAAAATTACAGCTAAGTAAAATAAACAATCCCTCTAAAAATGGACGATAAATCCCAAAATAAATCTTTTCAGTATTTAAAGACTGTTTAATAAGCCTGAAAACACTCCAGCTAACAACATGCCTTGACAAAGAAACTGAGTACAGATTGTTGGCCACGGCTGTACTGGCTTCTGCAGGGATGTTCCCTGGTAGATAGAATAACTCAGATGTGCTTGAACTCATTTAAGGTTTATCTGATGAGCCTTATAATGCCTGGAGCCAACTCCCCTCCACACCCCATACAAGACGGGGGTTAGCAGCAAAAGCTGCTCTTGGTATATTTTAACTTGGATGGCATGGGCTTGTGAGGTTTTTATAGTAATTCCCTCCAGGGGCTCTGAAAGACACAGATGAGCTTGAATAAATCTATTGGAATAAACTGGTTTGTGGGTCTGCATTTTCAATTGCCTCCCACTTATGTAGCATAAGAGCTGACTGTCTGAGGGCAGCAGGCCATAGCTAATGGCTATTACTGTGTAGGCACACTTTCCCTCAAGCAGACTGTGCTGTATCGTGGAGGTTGTGAAGTGCCCTGTGGCACTACAACTGTGACACAACGTTCAGGTCTGTCTTTGAGACATGCCAAACACTGTACTTTCAAAGTACATCACATCAGACCCATTCTTTGGATAGGAAAATGGGAGGAAGGAGGTGATCTACTCAGGACCACATAACTCTTACTAGAAAAGCTGGGAGCTAATGCCCCATGTCTACCTTTCTCTTTTAACCACTAGATAATGCTGTCTGCTTTGGAGAGTACCTGTCTGAAAGGTTGCTGGAGCTTGGCTGTGGTGTCTGAGTAAAGTGGAGGGCTATTATGTCATGAAATCCTAGAAAAAGTATGAATGAACAGAAGGTGCTGCATCCTGTAGTCGGAGCCTGTCTAAATGCAGTTGTTTGCAAAGTGAGTTTAAATTTCGCATTAATGAATTTGAGTTTCAGTCTCATATTCCCACAAATTCTGAACATTCTGAACCAAGACCAAAGAAGGACTCATTCAAACAAGATGCAGCTTCTAGATATTGTTATGTAAATACCACAGATGATGGCTCTATCTGTACCAATATGTCACTTTTAATTTGCAAATCCTTAATGAAGTTGTTACTTACAGTGATTTCATTGACATATAAATGTTCTCCTTTACTGGGTTCTGCACTGGCTTCTCCTCCACAGGGACATCAGACTCAGCTGTAGGGTCAGGCTTTGATACTTCAGTAGCACACTGTTGGAAAGACATAACAATATAAGACATTACTTTCATCGTTCTGCCTACAGAAATTAATTTCCTCATTTCATTCAGTGCGCATGCTGCTTAAACCCATTGGCTGATATAGCTTGGCTTTCCCCAAGTAAGTCAGTTCCCAGAAACTGTGAGCTAGAAAGGTGAAACTTAAAAGTTAAATGTTATCTGGTATTATTGACACTTTCAGGTTGGGACCTAACCAGTTATATTCTAAAGTACTACCACAAAAATTTCATTACATTTTAATTTAAGCAGGTTGGAAAAACAGTCTTGTAATGTGAGTATGCTTAACTTGAAGTGCTTAGATTATATGACAAAATCATATTGTTAGTGTCTTTCAGTTTGCTGTTCAGTCTTGGGAGAAAGGCTGTGATTTCTGCAGAAGACTGACCACTTAGCTTCTCCTGACCACTAATTACATGGGAAGCCTAGAGAAATTAGCCTCCCAAATTAGGTGACAAAATTTGTTTAAAATTACCGATAGGATTCCTTCTGCTTCCTTGTTTCACAATGAAATGTAGATACCAAAATGTTACACAGCGTTTCTAAAGTACTGCTTTGTTTTATGCAGCTTACTGAAGCTTCAGCATAATTACATTTTAAAATTGATAAAAATAATGTACTGTTACATTTTCTAAATTAAGTTTTCACTTTCAAAAAAACCCCCAAACCCTGTTATACAACAGGCAAAAGCCATTTACAATGAAACAGTCAATTTGGGGAATTTCAACAAAATCAGCAATGTTTTTGTCAAAATGCCACTTTCTACCAGAAAGATCCTTTGAATGAGTCTAGTGTATTTTTTCTTGTACGAATGAAAGCTCTATTACCTACTGCTTTATCTACGTATTTCTTTTGCAAGGTACTAGTGGTTCCTCATACCAGTTCCTCTATGGCTCATTAAATGTCTCCTGTCTCCCTGGAGCTGTTAAGAAAGCAGCAGAACTCACAACTGATAAACTACCTTTGCTAAAATATTGGTGGGAGTTTGGTAATAATCTTCTTCGTCCTTTTTGATGTCTTCATCTGTGTCTGATGACAGCAGCTTTTCCTCACTTTTTCCAAGATCCTTATCCTGTTAAAATAATGGGTTTGTATTTAACAGGATCAGTTACACAGATTGTTTAACATGTATTAATCATTCACATGGAGAAGTAACAGAATCAGCAAGTATAAACAGAAAACATGGGAAGACATGTTTCTCCTTGAAGCGAGATATGCTCAGAGCCAGTCTGTTTTAGAGACAAGGTTTCTATATTTGTGCTTCTTCTTGTATTTTTGAGATCCACTGCACAGGACAAAACTGGCTGCTGGTATTAGTATTTCTGGTATTACTACTCAGAGATGAATTTGTGGTAACCAGGCAGTTGCAATTGATTGCATGTCCACAACCTGTTATTTTGTTTAAAAATCAAGTGGATTAAACACTCCATGTATGAATCTGCATGCATTTAGGGTTACTTGTGTGAAAAAGTTTTTTTATTTGTGTTCAGTTCTAAAGTCTTTCCACTAGGAAAAAAATCTGTATGAAATCTAGAGGTGGATTGGGATATATTTGTCCTTTTTAAGCACCTTTTAACCGCTATCAAGTAAAGAATGAATTTGGGACTTCCCTGACTAGTGAGCAGTCTATTATCTCATACTTCTCTATGAACTAGAACATATCCTGGAGGGCTGGAGACCTGTCATTGAATTCTTTGTATCCCGAGTAATATTCTGCCTTCCTAAATACCTCAAATACTAAGTTTGTGGCAATTTGGTAAGTCAAGCAGAAATTAATCCCTCCACCAAGTTCATCTTACTATCACAAAGATAAATTATTTATTTTTATGTCTCCTTTTTGACTTCACTATAGCGAAGTGTATGGTAATTAGTGTTTAGCTGCCTTCCAATGCAATTCTCCATGCCGTGTTTGTGATGCAACCAGTTTTTATCTCTCCACTTACATCTTTGGTTTCCATGGTGATCATTTTAATAATTGCTAAATATGCCACAGAATATATTACTGTTTTCAAGGTAAAATAAATTAAACTAATTACTCTCTTACACGTAAAGAGAAGAAACTGTCATTGAATAGAAATTAAAGATGATGAATGTATTTTTGTTCCTTGTTGGTATAAATGCCATAAAAAGCAACTCACACAGTAAGAGTCAGAACAAAGCTGCAAACAGTCCTTCAAAAAGTGCATAACAAACCTACAGCAGGAACAAGCCTGGCTCTGTGGTCATGATTTAAAGTGATGAATGAGTTTCCTAGTGACTTTTCAGGGGCTTTGGATCAATCAAACAAGTAACTTAGGGAGAAGGGGAAAGATAATGTGGTTTTATGAAGTCTTGAGATCCTCCAACTCCTAGGAAACCTCAGAGAGCAGACAGCACTCATCAGCTTCCCAAACTCAGCCTTCAATCACTGACAGTGGCTACCTTTTGCCAAATGCATAGTGTTTCTCCCTGGCACTATCACAGATTATAGGGAGAATGGGAAGGAGAGGGTTAAACTGCAGCAGCACGGTGTTTCCCTAAAGCAGTTTGCCAACATCTCTGTTCCTCAAGGTACTTTACCACCAGAGAAGTGCAGTTAACTGCAGCTTACAGTTCTCAGCTCTGCAGCTAAACAAATTCTTCAAACCTCTGTTGAACCATGATGTGGATTTACATTAGAGAGAAAGATTACCGAGAAAACTGGCTGTAGCATAAGATGGAAATGATACCTGGAGAACAACTGAGTAATATTATAGTTATAGGCTCCTTGTAGAAGGTTATGTGTTGCCCTTGGACAGAGGAACTTTTTCAAAAACTCAGGTGTGTCCGATAGATCCTGACAAGGACGCCTAGGTGCCTGAAATACAGTAATGTGCAGTACAGAGTGATGTAAGATGGGGCCTCTTATTTTTATGTACTTCAGGTATTGAGAACTGTGTATTAAACTGGCTGATACTGAACTGCTAAGTCAGATGTGGTTTGGTAGCTCCAAAACGTGGGTTGAAAGGGAGCCAGGTCCCCAGATCTCTCCAGGGTCCCTGTCTGTGTGACCGGACTCAGCTGACATTGAGAGGCCTGAGTGCATAAGGAATGGCTACTGACCAAAGAGTTTTCAAGATCTGGGCCTGGGTGAGGGAACCACTGATAAAAAGCAAAATGAATCAGATACTAGAAATGTGGAGTCATACTTCTAAAAAGAAGCAAATACAAGGGATTAATCTGGAAGTCAGCTGCCTAGACATCACTGAGCAGAGAATAGATCTGGAGATGTTAGCAGATGTTAAATTTATGAGGCAAGTGAAATATTTTAATGGAATGAACAAACATTTTTGTTTCTTGTTAGTTGTATGGCAAGGCTATTTATTTTCATACATGCTGAAAGAGAAATATGAGCTTCCTGCTATTCCCTCTGCTTCAAATTAAAAAGGTAAAATCCAGCTTCCATATCTTGTAACCCCTATGGTCAGTCTGACCTAGTCTGAACAGCTGCATATAACACATGCTCTATGAGGCATCATAACTATGAGAAGAATTAATCAATGAGACAGAAATGGCATGCGTAAGAAAGAGACAGAAAGAGAGCTTTGGTATGCATCCAGAGCAGCATTAGTTAAAAACAGACTAAGGGTTAACTCCATTGCATTTCACAGCTCAGACTCTCAATTGAATTATTACAGCTTCATAAAGTATGGTGCATCAGCTGAGCTGTGCTAACTGCCCATGGCATGGCAATGTAGTTTGAACTATTTTCACTTCTTTTCACTAAATTTAGATGTATTGTCTCATACTTGCTGCCAGCCTATATACATGGATGGTGACTGCAGCATGTGATTTGCCACCCTGTTAGCTATGATAGCAGAACAGATTCTTTTCCCTGTATCTCAGTCACTCCAGATCATAGTCCAATGCATAAACTGCTAATAAAGATGGGTTTAAACTCATCTGCCAAACTGCACACTGGTATGGTGGAGCTTTGATTGTGCCTTCTGTTCTGTTGATTCTGTTGCAAAGGCAGTAATCCAGGGCAGAGGATGGGTAAAAAACATCCAAAACTCCTGCAGGTATTTGTTCGGGGAACACAGGTCAGAACATTTAGCCAATAACACATGATGACATTCATCATTGTATCTTTTAAATCATTCCTGACAGACATGGAAGCTAAATTCCTTGAAGTCATATTTATGCTGACAGAAGGTCAGTCCAGTGGTGTGCCTCAATTTAACAAGCCCTTGTTCTGTAGTTCAGTTAACATTGATTCAATTGCTACTGGCAGAGGCTACAGAAAGAAACCTTTTAGGAAAACTGGCACAGCTGAAAAATGTGATGGGAGGAGCAAATCCTCAACCATTTCAACTTCAGAGTTTTCTTGATCCAGTTTGAGAGCTGCCACAAGTGGCAGTTGCTGCACAGAAACTCTGAGGATATGCCTTCAAGAAGCAAAGTAAACAGAGGATATTTCAAGCAAGTTCTTCAGTTATTTTCAGTGCTAAACAAGACAAGAGACTAAATCTTTAGGAAACTTTCATAGCGAAAACCAACGCAGTGTGCTGGGAAAGTAGGTGGATAATCTGTAGTTACAGATACTCAGGTCACCTCTGCAGACTGAACAAGTCAAGAGCTGTTTGATTTGTTCTGCTCACCAGCCTTGGACAAACTCCTCTTGGTGAGTCACACTGAGCCTGATGAACGCCAGGATCTGAATTAGGCCTGTTCTTGTCTTCTGAAGAACCATTCTCCTATATACAAAAGAAAAAAGTTGACTCCTCTTAAAAGATACACTGGAGGTGCTTCACCTGCATTTAGCTTCCTCTAGATGGGCTGTTTGCATACACTTTTGTGACTAGAGAAAAACCTACAATTCCTTGGCTGCTATTCAGCCTGTTGCCAGAGGACAGGGACTGCAGTTGCTCTGGGACAGCAGCAATGCTTTCCTTCCTTTCTATTTAAATATTGAGGGGAAGATCTGGAAGGCACAGAGGAACCGGACCTGAACTCCCCTCTTAACTTTACATCATGGAGAGAGACAATGAAAAGCACAGTCATGAACCAGGAAGAATGTGGCTAGCAGCTGCCAAAACAATCATCACATGGCTTTGCAAAGGCATGCCAAAGCAAATCAGGGGCTTACTTCATGCCCACTAATCTTTGCCAATCAGTTGAGACGGCCAGTGAATATCGTTTCTGATTGCCATCAACACCTGCCTTTACTTACATGCAGACTGTCCTCAAAAGTCTTTCATTTGTGGGAACTCTCTGATCTTATCATCCAGGTCCTACTGAGGAACCCCACCAGAGAGCACAACAGACCACCTGGGCACCCATCGCACAAGCTCTGTAGAACTTTTGATGGAACAAAGCAACTGTACAAATCAAATTTCACAGTCACCCCTAGGAGCAAACTCACTATTAAGGATGGCTAAACTGATTACCTCGTGGTAGCTTTGCCTTTCCGAGAAACTGGTTGTACCTACAGAATTCAAGAATAGTGGCAAAGAGGAGGGCCGGCTTCTGACTTCTGGATTTGGAAGATCTTGGTTCTAGAAACAAGATAACAGCAGTGTAAGAAGACAGGTACCTGATGGGCATGGGCTACATTGTACCAACACATCTGACTAGTCCAAATTTTACTTCTTAATGGCTCAGAGACATTGTCTACATGGCATTTTTCAGGCAGACATAAATTTGCCCTGCTGGCACTTTGAGCTGACTAGAAGCTGCAGGGATGTAAGTAGCTTAGTGGTGAGTCTGAACTGGTACGCCTGGCTGGCTGACAAGGTGCAGAAACTTGGGCCTGGGCTTGAACTACCAGAGCTTCTAGCTGGTTCATAACACTGACAGAATAGATTGGACTGGTTTGTAAATCAGCATGTAAATATAACCAAAAAGCACATGGTAAGAATTGCACACATTTTCATTCTGATGCATCAAAGGGGCAACTCATTGAAGCATAATGTCAATCATGTCCTAATTTGCATGTGGCTTACTCTTCAAAGAGAGTCCTTCAATGTAAAATCAATCCCTGTGCAGACAGACCGTGCAATGACTGCTTAATGCATAAAGCCAGGTTACAGGATTTACATGGGAAATTAATTTCTGATTAACCAAGGCAAGAGTCAACTTGCAAAGCCAAAATCAGGAAAATTCCTTTGCACAGGTTTCTAGTGAAACTTCTTTCTTTCTAAAATCAAGTGTAGTAATGTGTCACCTCGGGGTAGAATCCACCTCTTCTGGCCTCCCTGTAGACTGAAGATAACACATCAACCCAGTCCTCTGTTTCCTGCCTGCAGGTTGGAACAACAGAAATGAAAACCCACTCACAGGTAAAACACAAGGAAAACCCATTTGCCTACCCACTTCTTCCTATGGGGCCAAAAATAACACTTCCTGAAATCAATGGGGAAAATCTGCACCTTCCTTTCAAGAGAGAGTGTTTGGGTGGCCATAGCCAGATGGTAAAGAGAGGTGCAGCCCAGGACTGAGAGCTAAAAGGGAGCTGTGTGTGCATGTGCAAGAGACACGGAGGAGGAGAGTGATGGAGAGGTGGGACAGCACTTTCTGCTTCATTTTCTGTGTGTAATGCTTGTTCTGCCAAGTCCTGCCATAAAGACAGCTAACAAGGCTTGAGAATCTTTTAGGGCGAGCAGGATGAGAACCATGTCATTGAAGGACCCCCTGAAGCCCTGTTTCATGCTTGTGGTGGATTTAGTTGGATAAATCTGGAACCCTTGCCACCAAGTGTGGGCTGTGAGAGCAGTGCCTTGGGGGAGGGCGTGGGGTGGCATGCTCAAGTAACACACAGGTATGTGTTTTTGTGTTTTTCTTCTGCGCTTATCAGCATTTCACACATCAGCTGCTTGTCTGCATAAAGGCAGAAAAACCCTTCACATGCTTGTGGCTGAGAAACTGAAGAGGAGAAGCTGAGAAGCAGCAGCAGAGGAGCACTGTGCCAAATGTCCTCCCTCACTTAACCGAGCTTTGGCTGATCACCTCGACAGCAGCAGTTTCTGCCCTTGCTGAGGACTGGATTGCAGCCTGCGAAACCAGGGAGCACACCACTCTGCTGCAGTAAAGGCCCCAGTCATTCCTTTTGGGATCTGTTTTCCCTCAGAATTTTCCCCTTCAATCTGCTTCCCTTGATTAACAACCTACTTTCCAGGGCAAGATTATTTCCTGTGATTTATCCATAAGAAGCAGAAGCTTTCCTAACTCCCAGGAGCTGCTGGGTGAGAAGGCAAAGTTCTCTGCTCTTCCCTGACCCTTAACCGGTGCAGTCTGAGGTGGCACTGCCTCATTGAGGTACTGCTGCTGCCATCCCCACTCCCAGCCACATGCTCCCGCTACTTTCACATGTCAGATGTTGTAACAGTGTGGCTGCAAGGAAGGTTAGCTCACCTGTCTGAACCAGCAAAAATTAAGCCATGGAGGAAAAAACAGCATAGAAAACTGCAGTTTTCCATTGGATCAACCAGATAAATCGTTTCATCCCAGAGCTGCGCCATCAGCTGCTGAGACACAGAAAGGGATGGGAGCGGCTCTGAAGGAGCAGGATCTTGCCTTGGGGCAGTGGCTTAGTGTTACACCAGCTTAACTGTAAAGTCATGTTGCATTTACACATCTTTCTATGCTTACCTGCTGCTCCCAATGAGGTAGTAACATCTGTTTCCAGTACTGATGGACATCACCTGTTCAGGAAGGCATTTAAACATCTTCCTCACCATTTCCATAATATCAGAGTTGCTTATGCCAACTTCGACATTTATGATTCTGTTAAGATAACCATATCAAACATCCTATATAATTATACATAAATATCTACAAACATATACACACACATACATACATCTGTGTGTGTATGTGCATATTTTACTCTAAGCACAGCATAATATGATGAGATCTGCATGGGAAAAGGTAAACATTTTTCCTCAGAAAATATTATCAAGAAAATAAGTGCACACATTCAAACCCGATGATCTTTCAATGAACAAAACTTCCAAGCAAAAAAATAAAATCAACTTTTGCAAAGACTTGTGTCCAGATTTTGGATCCTCATTTCTGAAAAAAAGGAGCTGCTGGTCTAACACAGAATCTTGAAAAGAAATGATCGAAAGAAAAATTCCTGGCAGATGTTTTTGAACCACTACAGAATAATATGTTTTATTTGAAACTAATTGTATATTAGCAGTGTTTTAATGGAGGGGAAGAGGAACAGAGAAGAATTAACGGATACGTAAATGGAAGCACTACTTCCATTAACTTCCAAGAAGTTAAATTAGTAAAAATAATAACAAGAGTAATCACGGTAGTAATGTAACCACATGTCACTGAGCAAGTTGGAACTTTGCTGAAAGCTTCCCAATGTAAATTCTTTTAATGGAAGATGCACAACAGCAATGCAAATCCAGTGACCTCCATGCCTAACAGTTCCAGGAGCCTGGAGCATTAAGCTCCAGGCCTGGCTGGTAAAATCTTTACATTTCCCTTTACATTTACTGTTTTTCTTCTATGTATCTATCTCATACCACATGTGACATGGTAAAGGGTGCTAGCAAATGACACTCAGCTTTGCTGCAGTGGGCACTGTGCTGAGAGGAATGAAATGACCAACCCAAATGAGCCAAGTAGAGCAATTTTTTTGCGGAGTAAGAGGCAGTGAGGCAGTCAGCATGAGCCCAAGGGGCTACGTGACAGCCAGGAGACTTCTGCACAACTTGCAAAGTACTTTGTAAAGCTGTAAGGTGGGAAAGGTTGTGTGCCACAGTTAAGAGTGGCATAGCCTGTCCTTACTTGTATGTGAGAGAATGCATAGCACTGTCCTCACAGGAGATAAAATATCTTCTACTACAGGAATACAGCCTTTGGGATCATAGGGCCAAGATATCTGGTTTGCAGATACCACATCACCACAATTACTTACATAAATGCATCAAATTTCATTAAAGCAATTTAGGATTTTTACTTCTGCGTATATCATACACTGTAAGTTGCACCCAAAGCCTACAAAAGTCCAAGGGACTCTTTTCTGGACTTTAGTGGCATTTGGATCAAGCACCTCAATCAGGAACAAGTGTCTGTACAATCAATGGCCATTTAAGAATGTTGATACATGACTTAAAATAAAAAGGCGAAGCATTTGAGTTACATACTGATCAACAGCTATGGAGCCTTTGATGTTCTGGCCTTTTAGATACTTCAGGATGTAATTGCCCTTGCTGGATTTGGACAGGATGAAAAAACGTCTTTTCCATGAATTCTGCCAAAGAGAAAGTAATTTGTCTCTCATTAAATTTCAGGATAGCAGAAATAATAGATGCTTGTTGAGGGATTGCTGAAATATGTCTAATTTGTGGTAGCATACCTGTGAGCCAAAAAGTTGAAGAGGTGGTGATTTGATGAGGAATCCTTGCTTGCAGACTCCATCTTCAGGGCAAAATGTATTTTGAGTTCTCACTAATCAAAGAGAAATGAACGGCATCATTACTTAATTTGTTGCCAATTAATCTCTTACAAAAGACCTGCTTGAACTTGAAATTGTTGCTGAGCACTGGGTTTCTATGCTTAAATGGCCATAAAGTACATTACAATTAGAGAAGACAAACACAAATCAAGGCTAAAAAATATAGTGCCAGGCCATGCTTCCCTGATGTCATTGTTACTGCTGACAAGTGGCTCAAACGGTAAACACATGATAGTGACAGTGTAGGGGGCTCATAAAATATCAAGAGCCTCTCTCTTTATTTAACTGGTCTTACTTAACTTCTGGAGTCTGGTCTTATTTAACTTCACAATTAGTTATCTGAAAGACAGTAACCAGCCCCCAAATGAAATTTGTAGATATCATTCAATTTGGATAGGTTGCAAACACAGCTAAAGATAGATCATCTTATACCGTGAGTCATGATGTGACAACAGAAAAAAGTCTGACATGTAAAATATGAGTGAAAACCTTGGGGGGAAAAATGCCTGACTGTATTTGTTCACAATCCTGCCTACTCTGTGGCCAGCTGTAGTTTAAGATTCACATTTCTAATCACTAGTGGGTTTATAATCAAAATCTCAGTTTTATTAATGTACTTTAACAACCAATGAAAGGAGTGGCAATCTCATTCAATTTTTTAAGCTATAAACTGTGTATGGGAAATAAGATTTTTTAAGAATCCAGACTGAAAAGAGCAAAGTCAACCTCGTTTTGGATCTTCCTGTAAGGGACAGTAGGGAATATACCTAAATTCTGGAAAACATAACATGACAAAACTTTGTGGTAATACAAGAATTGCTTGGTTCTGAAATACCATTTACTACTGACTTCAGCAGAGGTAAGGCTTCCTCATCAGTGCCTTGGAGATACTGACTGTATCTTCCAGTTCTCAGTTAATTTTTAAGGATTTTAACGTTTTTCACGAATGTCAGTTCAACCTCTGTGTCAGGGTCAAGAAAAATTCTGCATTTAGGACAGCCTCTTTAAGGAAGGAAGCGGAGAGGCAGAAGTAACACACAATGTAAGTCCAGATGAGAGCTCCCAATTTTTCAGTATGCTGTTTTCCCCTGCTTTTCACATATTGTTTACCACAAAATCACTGGCAGGTGGAGGGCAAAGAGAACGTTATCATATATTTATAAGAATGGGTTGAAACCTGATTCAACCTTACTACTGACAAATCTTAGGAAATGAGATTCTGTACCTTCAGAATTTCTTTTGCTTGAAGAAGCCATCCTGATTGTTTCTTCTACACAGATAGTAAAGAGATCAAAAGCCTTGAAGCTAATCCCTTTCGCTTTGCTTGCTGCTGAGCAGCATTTCACTGTACACACAGTTGCCTGAGAAAATAACAAATATCTCACAATTGTTTATTTTCGTAGTGATAATTAAACTATATAAAATAAGCATAAACATCTATAATGAACTATATAAACAATTATAATAATTATTACTCATTTAAGCAACTATTATACATCATAATATTTTATATTGCAAAGTAAATTAGACATATGCTATCATAATATATTTATTCTACTGTAATTGTAAAATTGCAAATAATTAAAATTATAAATTTATATAGGCCAAATAGATGATCTGCCTAGGAAGTGGTGAGACATGCCAACAGAATTTCATCTTGCCCCTTCCTTTGCACTAGAGACACTAACTGAAACCTAGGAATATTGCATCCGATATATGTTTCTGACACTGCCTTAGCCCTGTATAAAATAGTCATAGCTTGGCCTAAAGAGTTTAAAATGTATTTAGAAAATCTAGTCATAATGCTATGGTAATTACAATCATTTGCAAGTCTGTAGCATCCTTAATACAATGCCCTCAGAACAATTTATAACCAGTGATGAAATAAACTTCACAGCTTTTTAAGAGGTGGATTAGTACTATGACTTTTCAGAGGGGTAAACAGGAAGTATCTGTTTTGATTTATGTCAACTTATTTTTGCAATGTCTCCTCCAATGTTGCCAGGGAAATGGGAATCTCACTGTAAAACTGAGAAGTTAAATAACCTGTTCGCTGGCATAGCCAGGCTGTGGCAGCCACTGGAATAGATGCTGGCAGGGAGGCAGAATGCCCCAATGCATTTCCACGGGCTTCTCTGAAGTTTTGTTAAATAACCCTTTAACAAAACATGCAGGCAGCGATCTGTGGGATTTGATAAGTGCAGGAACACAGAGATGGAGCATTTAGAAGATAAAAGGTGGGTTTGGTTAATGGGCTTCCACTGGGGTTTTTTTGAGCTAATTTGCCTTTCAGTGCTTTCCTTTGAATAAGAACACCATTTGGGTGTCAGGGTAACTGAGCCAGATCTCCAAAGCACTGATATTTCTTTGCAATTTTTATGTGACCTCTACAGTCCTCCCAATTTATTGCATGCAGGGCACTACATTTTGCACATTGGACAGTTTTTTATTATCTCACCATTCCTTACTTGTTTATTTAAAATCAGATCTAGTTTCTCTCACATACTTACATTTCCGATTTGTAATACCATGTCTGTAACATCATTTAGGAAACTTTTCACAAGTTTCCCTTTGCCTTACGCCAAAGCTCTCATTCCTTGAAAAATCAAATCCTTTCCTTTTAGTAACTTGGCTTGTCTGTTAGCTACAGCAAGGTTACACAATCTTCAATGTGTGCAATCTGAAGATGCAGAGCCTCTTCTGGGAAAATCTGAAGGACTGCAAATTCTGTGCTCTAGTTCTTTGCTGAGCTCCCTGGCTGGACTGAGAGATCTAAGGGGTTTCCTTTGCTTCTGCTTCTTCGGAGATTTACTCCTTGGTGCCAGAAGTAAACACGGTCAGAAATGGTGGTCAGAAATGGTCGGTTATTTTCTGGCCTCACTCACCTACACAAGATGGGTTACACACGTAATTTTACTTCTGACACGACATTTCCATACCTCCTGTTCCAGGCAATACCATGCTGTAAATGAGAACGATCCACTGCAAACTTAAGTCCACTGGAAATGCAGAGCATTCCTGCCTGTATTTTTATGTATTTGGTTGTGGGTTTTTCTTAGGGAAATCTCTGCAATTTTGCCTTTCTGGAAGAAAGATTTGTTGTACAAATGCTGTGACAGACTGTTATAAAATTTACTGCTAGGGTTTCATCTATTGTCTACCAAAAAAAAAAAGGACAAAAAAGCAATTTTTGAAACTAAAAATGTCTGCACATTTTTACATTAACAAAGTCAAATTGTTCGTGTCAATAGTAGGGGCACACACCTGGGGTTGCAGTGAATGGCAATGTAATACTCTTTTCAATGTGACTGACAGAGTCACTGCAACTAGCAAACGATGCCATTCTTGCAAAATAATATTCCAAGAGCCTATGACAGGATAAAAGCCTCTTCCTAGGTTTCCGTAAAAGTCAAGATTTGCAGGTGGAAAGACAAAAACCTATGAGATTACAGTTGTGCTATCTCACTGCATTTTGGAAAAAAGTTTTTAATTGTTACATTTAATCATCTTCTCTCTTTAATGGAAAGCAACATTTTGAACAGGTTATGTTTAAGTCAGAATAGACAATGCCAATTCCACGTTTATACCCCCTCAGAGTTTTGTATGCCTGGCATGAAGACATTTGATTGCTTTCAACCTTTTGAAATGCAATGAGGCATTTCTGTCAAAAGACTATTATAAAACTTCAAAAATACAGTACCAAGATAAGGAAAACAAACTGTTACTACTTACATGCAAAATGTCTTTATGGTGTAGAAGGTTTTAGAGAAATATACTTTTAAGTATTTCTGGATTCCCTCTATTGCCTCCAGCAGCAAAACACGATGTGTCCTTGCCCTGCATTGTGACTGCCTTCTTATAGTCCGTGTATAAATACAAACATCCTGAAATATGACCCACAAGGAAATTCCTGTTTCTGCCATGGGAAGTGAATTAAAGACTGTTCTGAAAGGGGAAATCCAGAAGATTAATATTCACTTACAAGCAATGAAAAATTGTGCACATTTGAGGCAGCCATAAATGTCTCCCATGCAGAAAAAAGCCTGGCTTTTGTTGGTTCAGCTTTCTAAACAGTCCCTTCATTTCCCCTGAGCTGTGTCTAAAATATAACATCCACCCATGACCGGAAGATAAAGCAACATTAAGAACCCTGAAAGATCATACAGTACCACAAAATGTAACCAAGTTCGGATTTAAACAACAGCATTTACTAAAACATACAATGGTGAAGCAGGATTTTTTTATGCTACCTATGTGATAACTGTGCTTTCATTGTAGGGTCAGATCTGTCTTGGTTATATGTGATTTTTCTCTCCAGGAACATTCAGCATATCATTAATGATATTACACACTAAACCATTTGGCTAGTCCTGCAGATGGCAAGGGAATTGCTGTTAGACAGAAAATAATTATAAATCGGATCAGGAAATAAGCTAAAATGCCCTACAGCTTACAAGTCGCTGTTCAGCTGTTCTTACTCAAGTGAAAGGGTCAGGCTTCCTCATTCCAAATGGGTTCCCTCAGACTCCTGGGCTGGCACAGCGCTCAGTGTGTAAACACCACCAGTCAGACATGATGTCTGCCGGTGGGAAATTTTCTTAAATACTCTTAATGTTTTTTGGACACTGTCTAAAGTAACGCTCCATCTAGCAGAGACACTGGTCCTAAGATAAAGGAATGTTTTCCTCCTTTTCTTTCACTGCTACTTTATCTTTCCAAGTTGCTTTCCTCTCTGGCAATGTTCTTTAGGTAGTTTATGCTGATCTTTGTGCGTTTCATTTCCTAGAACTAGCCCAAAGGTTGTTTAAGATTCAGCCTCAAATTCTTCCTTTCATTGTAAGTCAGTAGGCAGAATTGCTGTGCTCCTTTGTGCCATACTATCATCCTGTTCCAGGAAACCTTTGGTCTACCAGGAGACCTCTTGCAAATGTTGAGAGTGCCTTGTTGGCTTGCCATATTAGAACACTGAAGAGCTTCAGATAACATTACTACTTTGCCTTTTTTCTTAGACAGACTGCTATCACTTCACCTACTAGTTGGAAATTCCCAAGCTGTCCTTATTTAGTGTCCGTCATGGTAAATGTACAACAAAATCTGATAAAGACCCACTCTGTCCACCTTTTTTTTTTAAAAAAAACTTTTAGACATTATGCCCAGCAGGGAGAACAGCTTTTCCTACTCATAGAGGAAACTCCCTAATAGTAACTCCTCTGATTCTTTCTCAGCAGTTCCTTGTAGGCTGGACCAGGGACTATTTCTGGTAATTTTCATATTTTCACAGTACTTCTAAGTTAAGATAAATTTGCGATAGCTTTTTTCAAATAAAATACAGTTCACAAAAAACCTTTAAGAAAAAAGCACAACAGAAGAGGAAATGTGCTCCTTACCTGTTATTCTGTTACATTCCTTGGCATTATTTTAAGAACTTAAATGACGTGTTTCAGAGTCCCTACTTGCTGCTTTATTGTTCCCAAGGCTCTCTGGCTTCAGATATGAATAAAAGGATAGTTTTGGAAACGGGAATATTGTTAACAAATTTAAAAACAGGCTAAACTTTAAGCAAATAAACAGTAATGCACCATAAAGACATGAAAGAGCTTCCAGAGAAGGAACGGATACTGAAATGTTGTCTGGACGCATTTCTCATGGTAAAACAGGAATATCTCCAATGCCAGAAAATAGTTTAAGATGGAGCTATTTGGGAGAAGTAATAGGAAGAACATTTTTATCTGAACTGCTAGACCAGTGTACAGTTTACTGTATAAAGACATTTTATACACAGGGCAAGATTAAGTGCTGGTCGATCAGAGTATTTAAATTAAATTATTTTCAGTGAATTTGGTTTACTCTAAGAAAGGATGTGGCCTGCCTAACCCACGTTACCCAACGCCAGCTTACTATTCTAAACCACTATTCAACTGACACTGTAAACCTCATCTTGAAAAGATGCTGAAGATCTGCATTCCTGGCTGAGAAAGGTTTTGGGATGTATTTTGTTTGGTTTTCACTTCACCAGATTGAGTGACAAACATGCAGACATTCATAGGAAATTAAAAAAAAGGGTCTTTATTGATTTCATACTCAAGACTTCCATAAAACAATCATTTAGTTCAAACAACTGTAAATTTGACTTATGAAAATATAATAAAATATATTCCTCACGATGCCACAGTATTTGTAAGAAAATAAACTTAATAATTTGGTAACTTGGCTTTAATAATATGCACTTAGTTTCTTGGAAGATTTCAAAAGAATACAGAGTTCATTAACTGGGAAAAGGGTGGAACACTAATCATTTATCAGTTTAACCAAATTACTAAACTTACTTTTTTGAGCTAGCTATCAACTTTAAAGAGCATATAAAAAATAGGAATATAAACATCACCGACATAATTCCAAAATACAAAATCAAGACCGCACAGTAATTAAAAAGGCACTTTTGGTTTCTGATTCAAGTAAGTATTTCCAGTCCTGGCAAAACTCCTCACAAATAGAAGTTATATCTAAACATACATTTGTTACCGGAACATACAATTCTATCTTTTCAACATTAAATTTTAATGATTTATAACAAAGCCTTGGCATTAACTTTCTGCTGGTTCAAAACTTCTGAATCAGCAAGCAGAGAGTTTTATTTCTGCAAGCAGAAGAACTGCAATACCACTGTTACAGGCTGTTCTATCAGTTAATTATCATTTGCAAGGCAAAAATCTTTACAATAGTGCTTTAGTAAGGCATCATCCAATTACAGTTTGCCAATCTTTAACAAAGAGTTTCATTTTGATTTTTCTATTTGTTACATTTCCATACTATTCAGGTAAATCATCTACAAATGCGGACTTTTTATTTATCCATCCCATGCTAGGGTGATAACTAAGTTAATTGAATTCCAGACTAAGCACAGAGCAACCATTAGTCTTCATTAATAATGCTCATAAAAAGGAAATGAATATATTAGACTAATAAACACCCTTTTAAATAGAATCACAGAATCAACTAGGTTGGAAAGGACCTTGAAGATCATCCAGTCCAACCACTAACCTAGCACTGACAGTTCCCAAATACACCATATCCCTCAGTGCTAAGTCGACCCTACTCTTAAACACCTCCAGGGATGGGGATTCCACCACCTCCCTGGGCAGCCCATTCCAGCTACAAACAGCTACAAATAGCTACAAACTGTTTCATCACTGGACATACCCATAATATGATGGTCTTTGGAAATTTCCAAGGAAGTTACGGTTCCATGAGCTAGCGGTGAAAGAACAGTCTCAAGATTTAAGTTTTTTGGTCTTAATATATAATCTTTTTTCTGGAATAAACCCTTATGGGTCAGGTAGCAGATAGGTTTCAGAACATCTTCAGTACCCATTAATCATGACAGCCACACTAAGGGAAATCAAGATACAGTAATTAGTATTAGCTGTCAGGTTGGCCCACAGCATTTATTTCTTCTTTAAAATCTTGCATGTTGTCCGTTCATCACATACCCCAGTTTATACAATATAAAAATCTACTGTAATTACATTTCTGTTATTAAGAATGTGTTACTCTGGTTTATAATCAAATCTCCACCCAAAACTATATCCTGATCTTTCGTCACTGGCTGCATTGAAATAAACTTTCAGAAGTAAAGTTCCTTAGTGAGCATAGAGACCACGCAGGGAATCTGCTTCTTCTCACTGAAGCGTGGATCATCAGACTGTGATTCAAAATTTGTGGCAACCACATAGTTGACCCGTGTGAGGATCTGCATGATCTCAAGTTGTTTACCATGCTCATTTAGCACAGAGCACAGAGACTGCACAAACCAGGAGCCTCTTCCAGGATTCCTCCAGGAGTAATAACCTTATAGGAAACACAGATAAAGTACATGGGGTTATTCTTCCTCTTTTTTCTTATTATCTTGTGCTGAAGAATGGAACGGCAGAGATATATACTAATTTGTGAGAGAGATTCTGGGCAAAAAGTACCAATGCACATACAGTAAGTTTAGTTCTTATCACTTGTGTCACATATTCTATTTAATTAAAATGGAAAATAATGTGTAGTAACTCTTCAAACCTGATAGTACTAAAGTACCATTCTACATTTTTGCATTTGGGAAACTGCAAGAAGTAAGATTTCATGCTCTTCCTCTCTAAGAATAAGTTACATGTCGTAAGTGTTCCTGTTCCTGCCTTCATCACATATGCCACACCCTCACTAAACTGGGACACGGAAGTGCAGGATTCCCAGAAGACAGTATTGCCTTTGCCACCTGTAATGTCTGCCTTCTCACCAGTCATATCTGGGCTTTCTCCCACTTCCACTACAGCCAGTGTAAAAGGGGTGGATACTACACTCTGGCCCAACATATGCTGGGCCTTAGTGTTTTGTCCATTGGTATACATTGTATCACCAGTGGAGGGTCAGTCTACAATCTGATAATATGGGTGATAAGTTTTTAGGCTTCCATCCTCAAGCTGACGCCCTTTTCTTTACCTGGCACTGTGGAATACGCAAATAGAAAATCTGCTTCTACTGGGATTTTGTATCTTGGATTGGCATCTGTTTCCAGAGTGTCATTTGCAGGTCCAGAGTCAGTTTGTATACCTTCGTCAAATTCAGAGCCTCTGCATGCCTGAAAGCAGTGAAGACAAAGAGAACTTGTCCAATAAGAAGAATCAAGTTGTTATAAAAATATGTATCCATTAACATTTTTTAATGGATACAGTTTTAAGCAGTACTTTGCATGCATTAGAAGCAGAAATATGATTCTGGGGGATATCTAATTGTTCAGTGATAAAATTACTAGCTTACCCATTTAAAAATATACATCCTGTACAGTAAAGTGAGGTAATGGTGTTGCAGGTTGTGAATCTCAGTGGATTGTCAAAGCACCAAGACAGCATTATCTTATACTAACCATGATTAATTTTACTAAAGTCATCCTCAGCACTCAATTATTACATAATATTTTGTGCAGCACGACTTCTGGACATTTTCTTTACAGTGAACTACACATCGTCTTTGGCTCCTGACATGCACTGCTGTGGCACTACATTTCACAGAATAACAAATCACATCCTGAGATCATCTAGTCCACTCCCCCTTCTCAAGCAGGGGCAGCTACAGCAGATATCCAGGACTGTGTCCAGTTGGGTTTGGAATATCTCTACAGGTGGGAGACTCTACAATCTGGGTAACCTGTTCCAGTGTTCTACTTTTCCAGTGTTTGACCACCCATTTCAAGTATATTGCATTGTTAACGTTTTTCCATTTCTTTCTTTTATTCTTAATTTCGTCTCAATGATGTGGTTTAGCTAAAGGGCACACTGCAACCAGTCCAGTTTGGCAAGTTTCAGCTCTTGATCAGTAGCTTTGACTGACAGCTCTTGCAAAAAAAAAAAAAAAAAAATCGGTGTGATGGGCTTAAATAACACCAGTTGGTTGCCTTTATTAAGATAATTTTAAAGACAACACCCATTCCAAACTTACAAATAAAAGAAACATCACTTTAGTAGTATGAAGAAATGTATGAATATAATGTAGAAGAAACGTAATGAAGTATGAAAATAGACACAGTTTTCACTTTGAAGTTGAAGGTTAACTGATGGAACAGCCTACAGAAAACCACATCTGCTGCAACTCCCATACCTACACAATACTATGATAAAAAAGAGAGTTTATAGCCCTGGTATATCAGTTAATACTGTTTGAAACAGCTGTGTTTAAAAGCTTAAGTAATATACAACTAATTATATGCTAACACAATAACACGATATAAATTTTTAGGCTAGAAGAGAAACAATATGTCTTTTAGCAGAATGCAGCTATTTGTAGACAGCCTGTCTTCAAAGACCTGGACAGTATTATTTCTACCGATAATCATGTACTGTCCTCAGCTCTGTCTGCACAAGAGGAAGTTTATCTTTCTGCTTTGAAATTCATACATTATCAAGTGCAAAGAGAAACCATGTACAAAATTACAATGACAATATGTTCTTTACATCTGTGAGTCTTGTATATAAATTATCTTTTAAAAACAAACAAGCCACCCACAGTCAACTTCTCTTGACATATTTTTTCACAAAACCTCCCGCAAAATCCAGTAAGTTAACCTACAGGGCTCTTCTAGAGCAGACAATCAACACGACATGCTTGCCCCACTGCAGCAGTAGGATACTATATTTACCTTAGGGCTATTACCTGAATAAAAAATAATTTGGGTTTGCCTATAAGGCTTTTGCACTTGTCCCCTCTGAATAACGCAGTCAAACTCTTGATAGCCATGGGTCCATCAGTGCCATAGATGAGCCCTTCTTCCCCATGGCTGAGAAGGATACAGGCAAAACAAGCAGCATCACTGTGATTCTCCTCAGCAGCTACAAAACAAATACTTCTTAGCCAAAAGGAAGCAACATTTTAAATGAAAATCATATTTAGCAAACACATTTTTCTAAGACTAAATATACATTGGGCCTCTACCAGAAGACATAAGGAGAAGCGGATAAAGATGACGCATTCCTCTTTCTAGTCATGTGATGAGCACCTTGAGCACATGAACTCATCCTTCACTTGACTCCGAGTTTAGCCCACTGAAGTCAACAGGCTGGACACTTTACCTAATATGACAAGGCTCTTCACCTAATACACAGGACAGGTGCTTTGCCTAACATGACAAGAAAGCTGTATTTCTGAATTGACATTGGAGGAAAAGGTGGGGAATTAAGTCTTAATCCATTCAGAAACTGAATCCTTCTATACAGAAAATTGCATGCAGTGAGGACTAAGCAATCTTTTCCAATTTGACCTGCTTTGAGCAGGGGGTAGATTCAGTGACTTCTAGAGGTCTTTTCTACTCTAAATTATTCTATGATTCTAAATTTTTACCTTGCTTCAGTAATTTTTCCATATCATCACGGCTTCGGTCATTGTATGTGCAAACCTCAAACCCTAAACTTTTAAAACTCTTAGCTAGATCTCCAGCATCTTTATCAGTGCCATTGCGTGTACCCATTCCTGCCAGAAAACAAAGAACATGGTTGATTGCACATTACACAATTCAAAATAATTCACGTGTTCAAAGGTAAATTTTTAGGTTTATAATAACTAAACCTAAACAATGTCATGGTGACATGATTTTAAAACAATCCTCTAACAGCATTCTCAGCACTGAGAACAAATTGTGAGATTTGTTTTAACACAAAATAGTGCAAGGCTCAATGTTAACACTTATACTGAAAAATGTTGCCATGCCTCCAGCACCTTGCAACATAGGACCTCTGGATGAGTCTATTTCCTTTTGGTTATGCAGTGTAACATATGCATAAAGCACCCCAAGGAAAAACAGTTGCAAAGAGTCCCTATGATACCCACATAAAAGAAACCGATGTAAATTGTTTGGAATATACACTTCATTTAGTGTGTTTGCCAAGTGTATAAGACAAGACCTATGAAGTTGACTACAACACAAATAGCTGTCTGCTTTGAAACCGTACATGGTCTGAAAAGTCAAATGAAGGAGTGTGAACAGAACACAGCTAAAGCTATTAGCTTTTGTAGCTCATAGCTGTAGTACAGGGACAGAGCAGTTATAACATGGGCTGCAGATGCCAAAGTTCAAACTTTTAACAACACAGCCTTAAACTCTGGGATAAAGGTTTAGTTTGAAGTTGGTAGAGCAAGGTGACATGCTCTTTGAAACATACACTGCAAAGAAGCTGAAAAGAGCCACTCTAATATAAAGTGTATAAAAAATATTAAAAATTCCTAAAGAACAGGAATAAATTGTAGGAACAACTATTTATCAAGAAAGAGAAATACATTCATTAAAATTCCATGTCCTAAAAATAAAATGCTTATTGAATAATGAAAGTATAAAAAGTCTGAAGTCTGTAATGTGTATCATCAAAGAAAGAATATTACCTGTTTTGTCTTCAAAATTTTTGTTGTTTATAATAATACATTTGCCAACTTTCTTGTAGTCCATATTATACTGGAATGTGGGTGTAACAATTCGGTACTGATTACTGAGAGAGGACTTTGGCTGTTCTTCTTCTCCATTCTTCTTTCTTCTAGGTGAAGCAAATGAAATTGTTTAGTGGTCAGTCACATGCAGTGTGCCTATTTATCTTAATTCAAACCACTCAGGCAGCACTACCCAATGTTTTTTCTTCTCTAATGTTTGTTTTCTTTCTTCATATTTCAGATCGAGGCATAAAGATCTTGTGATTTCCTTGAAGTCATTATTGTATGTGACTGCACTCTGATGATGGCAAAATGACTCTAGAGTGAACTGCAGGCAATGGCAGTATACTCAGATCCTGACCCACAGATAAAACAAATGGCCTAAACATGAAGTCAGGCTGTTAGTAACCTTTTGCAAACTATGGTTCTAGACATATTTTACTTTTACAATAAATAATTCATGGAAGGACAGACAGATCTCCCTTAATAACTATTCCAAACACAAGAAGATATGCAGTTTACCCAATCAGGTGATAAGATTTGTTTATTGAATCACCATCATGCCTAAATTCTCTGAAGATTAAGACCAAAGAGTAGGTAGTTTCTACTGATAAAGGTTGTAGATGTGAATAGGTCGTGTGTTAATTTGGTCTGCCAAACAGCAGTCTGAACTTATGCAAAAATATAAGCACGTTTTAATGTAATCATCAATACCTGAACCTCACTTCAGAAAAAAACAAACCAAAACGAGCTTTAAATGCTCTCTGTTAATATGACAGTGTACTGACCTTTCTGCTACGTGCAGGAGTCTTAGATTGGATTAGAAAGATATGCAAAGGGATAGCACAGACATTACTCACCAATTTATTCTAAACAAAGTATTAAGAACAAATCAATTACAGCCAACAGGCACACCTGAAATACAGGCATGAGGCACTCAGCAGTACTTGCTTTTAGAGGCAGACTTTTTGGTCCAAGCAGGTGGCTTCAGACATTGGTAAGATCTCAAGCAGAACTGAAGCCAGTGATCACCTGTAAAGGGTCTGATCCAACCTCAGCACTATAAACAAGCTTTGGAGCAAGTCTAGATATAAACAATGCTCAGGAAAGGGCAGAAGATGTTATCAGCACCTCTCTTACTTATTTGGTACAGCATCCTGCTTCCAATAGTATTTATTGCTGATGTCTGAGAGGAAAACACAATCTCCTTTTGCAGCACTAATAAGTGTATGATACAGTTTGTTTTTAATAAAATTAGATTTTCCCCATAATCTCAATTAATATAAGTACTTTCACTATTCTCACTCTGACACCTTTCTAAAGAATTACTAAGCTATTTGCTTCAATAATAGCCTGTAGACATCATTGCTACAAATTGATTAAATGTTGTTTAGGTAATTTACTTTCTTACCTTCCTGATTTAACAATTGTTGTCTTTTAGCTTTGAGTGTTCTCTTTTATATTACTAAAGGACAAGACTTAATTGGAAACTATAACAAACCTTCTCTAGATGATTCATCATGTTTAAATGCAAGTGTGATTCAATTTTAAAACAGCTTCTTTTTATCTCTGAGGGCCCTCATGTTCTGTTATAAAGGGCCAAATTAAATAGCTGCACCTGGCAGGCTTTCTCTGTACTCTTGTACTCTTGTACATGTGACCATCCTAATAACATCTCCTCTCTTAGACTTTTCTTAGAGACTACAAAACAAGATATTGAATCGTATCTACTTGAGAATTTTGTCTGATCATCTGCAATGTTGGTATTCTCCCTGCATACTGCTTCCTAAGGGCTCTGGGAGTAATAATTAAATATGCTTTGCATCAAGAAAAGACTTTAGCCATTTTAAAGAATTATCCACAGTGGTATGATGCCAATATTAGACTTGACTTTCAAAGAGATCTTGGATTCTTATTTTAGCCTAAAATTACCCTTCATCCTATATCACTAGACAGCTCTCTGGCAAAGACAGAAAAAGAAATTTTAAAACAACAAATAACCACTCAGGTCGATGAAGAGGCTAATTTCTTCAGTCCACACTGGACTGAAGTTTCTACAGATATATCTGGCTTCACTGACTTCCTGAAAAAGCTGTATGACTAACAGTGGCTGTTACACACAATAGGATATTTTCAAGGGGATTGTACATGAATTTCTGTTTATGTCCAACCAATGAATAGTTGTGAACACTCAGAACAGATCCACATGAGCAGCGCAGTATCATGTTTGCACTGTCTGTTCTCCTAAAATGCTGGAAGTGATCTAATTCTAGTCCAGAAGTCATGCAGCCACGTTACCCCCCAACAAGACTCACTGAAAATAGCAGCTGGGGAATAAGTGGCGTAATAATGTAGTCACACAACTTGCCTGAAACCATTTCACTTCGGAGTTCAATAGTTTGCACTCATTCATGTGGAAACACCTGGGAGTTTAAGGCATGTAGCTTCTACAGTTGCTATTCCCAGAAGTATGCCAGACGCTCTATGCCAGTTAATGTCAAATGTCACAGACAAGCCTCTTCAGCATGGTAGCACACATAAGTCTATAATTTCCCCACTCCTTTACAGAGGATAGTATGGCTTTGTTCTAATGATTCCTTCCGAGCTGAACAGGCTAACAAGACACTTAAGCCACCACAGCAGGCTTTGATGAGTTACCGCCTATCATTTCTTTACTAGCTGACAAAAAAAGTTTCAGAAATCTTATGGTATCTGTCCAAACTGAACAAATAAGGAAGCAAAGGTTTTGGCATGTATGTATCCTGGGCCTGCAGTCCACAGAGAAACTGGTTTTTGAAGTTTCTGTTTTCTTTGCCAACATAGCACAATATAGGAATTGCCTGACTGGACAAAACTGATAATATAAGGTCCAACTCTTCAGTTTCAACAAGATAAATCAGACCTTGTAATAATGACTAAACAAGTAATAAATACATAATAATTAATCCTTAAGGGAAATGCCCTGTCAGTGACAGGCTGGCTTATGACTGAAAAGCCTAAAGCTTTCCAGCTAAACTTCTATTTTATAAGCTCTGAACTGGATACATGTTAATATAGATGTTTACTGCCCTTGTTCTTACTGAGGTTTCTAATCACCATATATTACAAAAGGGTTTCCATACCTTCATTATGTGCTGTTATAAAATGTTTTAAACTATTTGCCCTCAGTTTTATTTCATTCTGCTTCTCTGACATTCAGTGTCTTTAATTTCCCTCTTTTGGGTTTCAAACTTGCCCAAACTAAATAGAAACTTGAATTTTATGACTGTTTACTCTTTCTTCAGCTTTTAGTTACAACTGCGCTGTAACTCCTCACTCCACTAGTGCTCACTTAAGACAGAAATATTCTTCCCATCACTGCTCTCACATATTTCAATTTTCTCCCTTTGGTCAAGAGTTCAGTAAAATTGAAACTCCACTCTGGCAGCCTCATATAGCTTGCACATTTTCACCTTTACTGTGTCTCTAAATTCAGGCCTTAGGCTTGACAACAGTATGTCTGGGAACGTGATTTCATCAAGGCTATACTGAACTGGTGTCAACCCTGGAAAAACCATTATTACCAACTTTTCACTTTTCAGATATAAAATTAAAGTGACCCATACCATTTATCATTTTATTACTGAACTTTTAAACAGTGAAGACCAAATTTCTTGTCACCATGACTGGCTAAAATTCTGTCAAAGTCAATGGAGATACATCACTTGCCCTAGTAGCGAACTTGATTATCAAAAGGACTGCTACTTTTAACAAGAAACTTTATTTGCTGTTAAACTTTGGGTAAATAATGATTTCAGTACGTATGCTATCAAGATTTAAGGATAAAAATATCACTGTTCACATTTAACTACACTTAAAGATTATTTCCAATAACAATTTTACTGAAAGCAGTGTCTCTTAGCAGCTGAGATCTCCTCTCCTTTGCCCTCCTTTCTACGGGCATCTTCCTGTACTTTTCTTTGCTACTGTATATTAGTATGACATAACAACATACTAAGAATCCATGTGCTAGAGAACGGCTTCCTTGAGTGTTGCAGTCTCTCATCATCTCTCCCACTTGCTACAGCCAAGCTCTTGGGCTCAGCTCTGCCAGTCCTCCAGAGAAACAAGTCTTTCAGTGACAACCAGTTGCTTAACTTGAAGTGTAGTGATATTTCCATGGGGAGGGTCTTCACCTTCCATAAATTACATAATCAAATGTCAGCAGTGTAATCTGGTATTACCTACCTTTGTGAAAGGCGTAAAGACCAATAACTGTAAAAAAATCTGCTGTAAGAAAGGTGGTCTGCCGTAACTATATGGACTCCCCTTAGAAGAGTACCAGCGTAATGCAGGGAAAGTTCTCAAGAGAAGAGTGGGTGAAAGGGAAACATTAAGAAATGCAATCTCTAGGGTACAAACTGTTACACCAATCCATTTACTAAACCTCAACATTGATTAAAAAGAGGATGATAGTAACTGACGGATAACAGAGTTCTTCTGAAAACATGAGCTGCTTGGCCTTAAAAGCAATGTGACAGCACACAGAAGAAACAGCGGTCCCTGGAAAAGAGCAGTCACTTAAATAGCTTTACAGGCAGAGGATTAGATGAATAAAGACAAATTTCATGATCATCACTTCCCAGTCACAACATGGGAAGAGTTTCCTGTTTGTTTTTTTCCTGTTTGCATTTCTAAGAGGAAATTAATGTGTCAATCAAATGAACTCTAAAAATGATATTACAGAGGGATATCTGGGCTTTGAAAACAGTTATAGTCCCTTTTTCTCCCCGGAAAGTTAGTAAGTTTTGTTGCTGTACTGAAAAATATAAGATAAAAGAAGTCTATAATTATGATACTATTCAATTTAAGGAAGTCGATGTTCAGAGGTGGGTCGAAAAGGCTAAGCTGATTACATTCATTTCTATTCAAAGTACACACACACAGAAGAAGAGAACTCTGTCTTACTCTTGCTCTATGAAGTTCAGTAAATTTGGGCTTTATTGATAAGGAATATCGCAGAACACTGTGATAGTTTTTACTCTGACATGCTTCTTTAATACAATGTGCAATCATGTAATTTTTGGATGACTGATAACAGGTTTCTGTTAAATAGAAAACTTGCCTT